AGAAGAGGAAAAGAAGCTACTGAACGGGGACCTTGCACATTCAACCGTAACTGTTTTGATACCCGAGACAAAAGACAAGGGCCTTGAAATGCATGGCGAGGTTACTGAAGGTGCCGAAGTTAATGATAGTTTAATAAAAGACGAGCTCCTGGAATCGGCTGGTGAAAACATGAAAGATTGCCAAGACTGTGACGAATCCGAATCCGAATCGACCGTCACTACAACTGATGAAGCAACAACGATCCAAAACAGTGAACCGAATCAAGGTGATGATGGAGAGATCACACTTGAAACTGGATCGACTCGAAATGAATCAGAGCCGGCAGAATCGAATGTGAACGTCGTTGTCCCCGAAGTGCGAAGTTCAACAAATAGCAAAATGTTCTTTTTCAAGCTTCGATCCGATGAAGTTGGGCCATATCTTGTGAAATGTGAAGCTTATCTTGACCGTGAGACAGTCAATACCTCTCCACAGTTTGTGTGCTCCGAGTAGATGTACAACTAGAAACAGTGGAGTGACTATTTTTGTCAACAGGCGTATACCACCCTATTCTACCTGTGGCTTCTTTCCAGTACCAGTACCAGGGGGTACCGTACTGTAGGTATGTCGAAACTTCAAGATCGTTTCAGCTATTTATAAAACACTAAAATAGTACATCATTCGTCATCCAATCACAAGGCATCTGACATCACAATTTGCAACATCAACTATCTGCAACCGCACAGTTTCTACAACCACAGCAAAATGAAATCAAAGTACCTCCAGCTCGTAAACATCGTTTTAGTCTTGCATCTTTCACATGGCTGGAACTCGAGAGTTCCAACCAGGGTTGAGAGATCGCCACACATCGCATTGTCAGCAAGAGACGACAACAACCACCTTGAGCCGATAAACACATCAAGGCGGAAATGGCTTGGAGGCGCGCTGTCATTTGTTGGTGGGAGTATGCTATGTCCTATACTATGTCCAGTTCTTCCTTCGAATGCCGCCGAAGCTGTGAAAACTGGTTCCGTCTGTGACGCAAGTGTCTCGGTGTTCCAGAAAGGTGGAAGAGTTGTATATTTGTTGGGAACAGCCCATGTGTCATCGTCTTCAGCTGAGTTGGCTGGAAAGCTGGTAGTAGATACCCAACCAAAAGGAGTCTTTGTTGAGCTAGATCCCAAACGAGTAAAAGGCTCTGGAATTCTGGCGAGGCGTGTCTCTATCGACGAGACAACTGGTCAAGAAGTTGAGGTGCCATCATCCAAAGTGATTGTACCAAATATCCAGATGCTGACCAGTACTTCGCAACCTTCGGCGGCAGGAGAGGATGCCCCTTCTAGACCAGTTTCAGTTGCACCAATTTCAAAGCCAAGCCCAATGATGCAGGCCGCAGGTGCTGCAGTTGGGAACTCCATTAAGGGAATGTACAAGAAGCTTGACTCGGCTGGATTTAACGCTGGGGAGGAGTTCGTCATTGCGATTCGAGAAGGCCAAAAGATTGGGTAAGTCTTTGGCGATTATATTTTGTTGACCTGTGCTTATAGATGATCGTTGCTCATCGACTTTTGACTGCCTGCTGGTCGTATTTTTAACTCCATCTCAGGGCCGATATTGTGTTAGGTGATAGAGATGTGGAAGTTACGCTTCAGCGAGTGGCGGAAGCACTTTCCAAAACTGACATAAACACATTGTTAAAACCAGACTCTGAGCTGGAACAATCTTTGAAGGAACTTGTCCCCAACAACGTAGCTGCAAACAAAGATGGTGACTTGAGTGATGCACAATATCGACAAGATTTCTCAGACTTTGTCGAGACTGTGAAACAGAAGGACAAGGTGAGGCAAATCATGGGTCAGCTGAAGAGAGTGGCTCCAGAAATCCATACGGCCCTTTTGACAGAACGAGACGCATACATGGCTGCTGGATTGAATGGCTTGGATGAAATTGAAAGCATTGTTGCTGTGGTTGGCATTGCGCATGTGGATGGAATTGAGCAAAGCTTGGCAATGAATGGTTGGAAGCCAGCTAGTTTACGCTGTCCAGCCATCTAATCTAATGTCTAGATTAGTAGACACTGTAGATACCAGGGGTTGCTACTACTCAACGTTGATTCCCAATACCGTGCGTATGTAGTACCTGGTAAATATGATACTTGTATACGATACTATAAGTCTATTATAATAACAAGATATTATT